TTCGATGCATACATGAACTGACATTCTTCACTGGGGACTACATATAGAACAATATATAGCTACTTAAAACATGAACTGACATTCTTCACAGGGAACAACATATAGCTACTTTAAAAATGTGAGTAAAATAATTCATCAATCAAGTCAAGAATTTATTAAATAGAATAAATCAATCAATTAAGTTAATATTTTTTTGTAATAAATCATTAAGTAAAACATTATATTTAATCCTGTGAAGAACGTCAATTCTTAAATATAGAACACAAGGAAATCGTAACTTGCAATACAAGGATTTTCGATCTCTTCTCTTGAATCTTATGCGAATATTTTAACATGATAAATTTGATTTATTTTAAATCTAAAATTAGCTAGTTCTCTTCAGCATAATACACATAAAAGTTAAGGCTCGGGACAAACTTAGCAATCCAAGGCATCTACTAAATAATTATCCATCACTTTTCATTATAATCTTAACTAATCTTAAACATGGATTTTTAATTCTTCATAAACTGAAATTAAATCATTTTCTTTAGCATGAAATAACATGAAATTCGAGGGCCCATGTTGATACCTCTCTTTGAGAAAACAAAGTGTAAGGCTCCGGTTTAGGGGATGAACAAGGCTCGGGCTGCAAGGTGCTTGGGCTCGGTTTGCTTGCAAGGTCTCAGCTACTCACGGTTTGCGGGTGGTCTCCTTCAGCCGCGAACAAGGCTGCCCCCGGTTGTACTGGTCGCCGGTGCTCCGGTTCTGCTTTGGTCTTGCTGGGAAGATGGGTGCGGCTCGACAGTGGTGGATCTAGAAATTTGTATGCGTGGGGGCCAAAGTTGGTTTTGTAACTAACCATCCGAATTATAAATTGAAATTATTGGTTGCGATTGTATATATATAATTAAAAAACTTGTCTCATCTAAAAATAGAGATAAGAAAAAAAAAAGTGAGTTATATTTTTGTGAATAAATACAAGCTAAAAATGTAACATAATATGATTTAATGACATATGAAGATATGCTAGTGAATTAATAATATTGTTACTAGAAATTATAACATAATATGAATTTATTATATTTTAATTGTGTTGCTTATTGAAAAATAATAAGGTGGGATGAAATATAGTATTTTCATGATTTTTTTTTATTGTTTTCTCAGTTTCAACAAGATAAATTTTGATTGAATGAAAAGGAAAGAAAAGAAAAATCATATATCCAATCAATATTTCTCCTTTTATTTTTTTTTTTAATTTTTGAAAAAGTAATTAACAATTGGTCACAAATATAATTTAAAGTTATTTTGGTAGAAGGTTGTATATTTATGCGAATTATTAATTAACTAAAAATTTTGGGATCAAAATTTACAGTGCTTTATGTGGAAACTTATTAATTATGAGAATTATTAATAACCAAAAATTTTGGTATCAAATTTAGAATCAATTTAACTATGTTAGTGAACTAAGTAACATAAAATAAGAATATTTTTTTATTTCTTTCTTCTTACTGTATAAGCCATATTAAGTAAATGATCAATTATATATCTAGTTCATATCTAAGAAAAATAGGATAAATAGTGTCAAAATTCCTAAAAATAAAAATAAATAAAAAATAATTAATGATGGTAAAATAAAATGCAATAAGTCATTTTATAATTTAAAGAGAGATACAATTATATCTTCCCAAATGTACCTACACAATGTAAATAATCCTTCATCGACTAATTTATATATTATCTTAAATAGTATTTAAAAATTCTCTTGTTAAATTCAGTGCCTAGGCCCACACTGGTTCTATACTAAATCCGCCACTCCGGCTCGAAATGTTTGCCGTGGACTTTGGTGATTCTTTTGGAGAGGATCTTGGGGATTTCTGGAGAGATTTTTTGTGAAATTTTGCTGAGGAAAAATAAGGACCGACTTTAAGTGTATTGTAGAGTTTAAATGGGATTACTTGGAGAATAATTTAGGAGAGTTGGAAGAGAAAAGAATTCCTTTCCATATGGGAAGAGCTCTAGCCGAGAGGGAGAGGAGACTGAGATAACTTGGACTCCTAAATGAAGGTGAAGTTCCCAGTTGGGTACCAAGTTGGCAAAGTGGTAGAAGACCAGCGGTAGGCTTGGTCGTGCTACCAGGTCATGCTGAAGAATATCGAGTCACAAGGAAGGAAGAGAGGTCAGGAAAAAGATCATCCTAAGTTTTCTAGCATATAAAATAAGTTGGAAATACCATCTCATGACGAGCTAATGGATATTGAGATCATTGAAGAAGAAGTCGGGAAGGTGACAAAAGTTGGAAGCCATCTCTCAGAGGACATTCAGGTCTCTCTCAACGTTTTGTTGAGGGAGTATATATGCAGACGTCTTCACCTTTTCTGCAGATGACCTCACGGGGATAAATCTAGAGGTGCCCGAACATAAGCTGAACATTGACCCGACTGTGAAGTCGGTAAAGTAGAAAAGAAGACACTTTGGTGCGGAGCTCGACTTAGTAATTGAAGGCAAGGTCGAGAAGCTTCTAAAGGCATGTCTTATACAACCTATCCAGTTTTTGGGGTGGTTGTCGAACTCCGTGATGGTCAAGAAGGGCGAGTGTAAGTAGCGAATGTGTATCGACTTCAGAGACCTCAACAAAACATGCCCGAAGGACCACTACCTATTGCTAAGGATATACCAACTTGTGGAATCAACGACAGGGTACGAGCTTCTCAGTATGATGGAAATTTCTCAAGGATACCACCAGAGACTCTTGGCGGTCAAGGACCAGAAGAGGGTAAGTTTTATAATGCCACATGTACCTACTGCTATGTGGTGATTCCCATCGAACTTACGAACATAGGGGTGACATACCAGAGGCTGGTATACAAGATGTTTAAGGACAGATTCAGGAGGATTATGAAGGTCTACGTGGACGACATGCTCCTGAAGAGCAAGAAGGTTGAGATTCACATCGACGACCTGAGGGAAACTTTCGATACGCTGTGGAGCTATGGTATGAAGCTCAACCCAGCGAAGTGCAAGTTTGGGGTTAGGTCAGACAGATTTGTAGGATACCTGGTCACAGAGAAAGATATTGAGGTCAACCTAGAAAAGGTGATAGTGGTGCTCCAGATTCAGGCACCCAAAAGTTTGAAGGAGATCCAGGTCCTCACCTGCCGCTTAGTCTGGCTAAGCAGGTTCATCGCCCAGTCCGTTAAGAAAATTTTTTCATTTTTTTAGCATTGAGGAAGGGATCTCAGTTCAACTGGACACCTCAAGCACAACAGACTTTCGACCGACTTAAGGAGTTTTTGGTCGAGCTACAATAATTCAAGAAGCTGGAGCATATGGATGACCCTGTCATATATCTCTCAATAGTTAAGGAACAATCAACTCGGTGTTGCTAAAGAAAGGAAGAGGGCAGCAAAAGCTCATTTATTATATGAGCAGGGTGCTACAAGGTGCAGAGTTAAAGTTTTAAAATATATAGAACAATATTATGACACAATTCCAAAAAATCAAACAATACAATTAAATTGGCATAATTTCAAAATTGGTCCTATAACTTGGCCAATGTCCAATTTTCCACCCTGACATTGACCACTTTCAAACTTGGTCCAATAATTTGACAATTTAATCAAATTTGGTCCTTTTTTATTCGCACCCTGGATAAAAACGTGACGTGGCATGACGTGACATTTTTTGATCTGACGTGTCGACTTCTATTTTATTTAATTATTCCATGTGGAATTAATTATGTCCACGTGGAGCAAAAACTTAAAACTAAAATACATCTAAAACATGATGTGGAAACAACAAAACTTTGGAACTAAAAGAAAAAGAAAAAAAAAAAGTTAAACAAAGAAACACGTTCTGCACTTTCCCGTCATCAATGACATGTTCTCTTCAGCCGACCACCATTTTGCCGCAGTCAAGCACCATCCTCGGCCAATCAGCCCACGTTCAGCCTTCAACCAGCAACACCGCCTCCACCGGTCCCCTCGCCTGCGGTCAAGGCCAGCACCTTCAAGAGCTCCGGTTTGTTCTCCTCGATACCTGCCGGAAAAACGGGTTGCCTAAAATTTTATCGGTTCTGGAGATGGTGGACGCCTTTGGGTGCACGACGGTCTGAGGAATTATGAGGTATCTTCGGATTTCGGTGGGTCACCGTGAATCGCTAGAAAATTGAGGATTTTCATCGGAATTTTATAGATCTAATAACTTTGACCAGAGCAATTGACAACCTTACAAGTGGAATTTTCGTCGGATATGGTAGGAAGTGAACGAGGACGAGAAGAGCTTTAAGATGATACCAAAAAAAAAAAAAAATCAATCGGAGGTGGCCGACCGGCGGCCAGCAAACGGCAGCAGTGGCGAGCGGCGGAGGCGGATGAGCACAGAGGAGTTCACAATTGCATGGACTTGTTTTTAAAATTTAATTAATTTTAAAGACTATTTTGCAATTTCGAAAGTTTTAATTAATTGCAACTAAAGGCTGAAGCTGATGTGGATTATTTAATTTTAAGTAAATATTTCGTAATCCTGCCACTTAAATTACAGTCATGCCATGTCAGATTGAATCACGCCACGTCACGTTTTTATCCTGGGTGCGGACAAAAAAGGACCAAATTTGATTAAATTGTCAAATTATTGGACCAAGCTTGGAAGTGGTCAATGTCGGGGTAGAAAATTGGACATTGGCCAAGTTATAGGACCAATTTTGAAATTATGCCCAATTAAATTTACTCGTAATTTTAGATGGAGTGTTGTTAATCCGAATAACAATATTTTAAGAAAAACTTAGCCAATATTGAAAGTTGTGTAATTATGATTTGAATCATATAATTCTGTCCAATACTGAATTGGAAGCCACATGAGAGACAAAGGGAGAGGTGAAACACCGGACAAGGGCTTGTGATTTACTTGAGATGGAGACCGTTGATATGTCTTATTTCTTAGAGAGAGAGAGAAAAAAAAGAGTCAAGAAACAAAAATGAGAGAGAAAGAATCAGAATCACTGTAGAGTGCGCGAGCAAAACAGGCAGAAAGGGCTGGTGCACCTCATTCCAATTCAATCTGCGCACGACTCCTCGACACCTGTCACCCTCTCATTCGCCGCTCAATTCCCAGCGTACATACAATCCACACAGAAAACTGTATCTATCTACAATCCCCAAAAACCTTCCTTGCCTAGAGTTAATACATACATCATACATATATATATAGATAGATACAGTGTATACACACACATACATTACATACTTTGTACTGTAACATCCACAGTACTGAAAACCCTACAGAATACAGAGAGACGCGCCCGCACAAAACACGCAGTGGGTGGTGAGAGAGAAAGACTGATGAGATTATTATTGGGTCCATTAATGTCCTCTCCCTCCCTCCACATGAATTCAAGAAAACCTCTGTTTCTCTCAAAGGACACGATCCGCCTCTGCCGCCTCCTCATAAAACCCTCACTTTCTCTCTCCTCGCCCACTTTCTCTCTCTAACCATCGCTGGATAGGGGAGATAGTACACAGCCGGAACAGATGGAGGATCAATACGGGTTGCCCGATCTCCGGCGCTACGTCGCCGCCGCGCCAAATTTCCTGCCGCCTCCGGCGGCGGACCTGTTCGCCGGCGGCCGAGGACTGGGCCAGCCACACCCGTACGGCGTGCTTGCGGCCGCGCCCGGAGGAGCGAGTGGGGCTGTCGGCGTCGGCGGTGGGTTTTACGGAGGTTTCGATGGCGGGCTCGGCGGAGGCGGCGATGGCGGCGCCGGGCGGTGGCCGAGGCAGGAGACGCTGACGCTGTTGGAGGTAAGGTCGAGGTTGGATGGCAAGTTTAAGGAGGCAAACCAGAAAGGCCCCTTGTGGGATGAGGTTTCAAGGTTCGTTAATTTGAATTAAATTTGTTTATTTTTCCTTTTTTTTGTTTGTTGAAAATATACAATTATTGTTTTTCAGCCAGTTCAAGTTTTCTTGAAAAAAAAAATTGAAATAAATTAATTGAAGATTATGGAGTATTTATTTATTTTTTTTCAATTGAAATGTAACAAAATTGTGTCTTGGCTAGGATATAAGATGATCTGGCTAATTTAGATTAAAATTCATTCTTTATTTTTATTTTTATGATTTTTTTTATGCCGTAGTTTTTAAAATCAATACGTTCTTGGATAAGAGAATTTTCCTTCTTTTTCGTTCTTGTTATTATTCCTCTTCTCGTTTTTTGTTTTTGGCTGTTTGAGTTTCTAATAATGTGGGATAAAGCAATCAATTATTATTATTAGTGTTTTTTTTCACATGTTTTTCACATTCAATGTTTATATTATATATTGNATAGACGCTAATTAAAAGTATTGAAGTCCAGTTCAAGATCACAGCAAGTAATAAATCTACTTTAATCATCACACCTCTTCATCTTGGAATTTTTTGTCTATAAAATGATAGCCAAAGACTTTAATTTTTCCGGAATACCTTTCGCCAACTTTTGGCCTGCAAACTGACGGCCAATCTTTTTGGTGTTTTTTAGCAACACAAATCTTCCTTTTTGTTTTTGACTTAATTTCATATTAAAAAAAATTAGCACATAATTATTCAACAGGATCATTTCATTTTCACCCAAATCGGTTTTCTATATATCTCAAATGAACCAAAGAAAAAAACCCCATCAGCTTGCCTTGAAAAGATCAATATCATATCATATAAAGCCTTTCTTCAAAGACCCTCTTTCCACATGAAACTAGGGTTCAATTTCAATCTCTCTTCAAACAAGTCTTCTCAAAACACATTCTTGCTGAAATAAAAATTGCATCTTTTTCCTAATATACTTCCTCTTTACTCAATTTTCAACTCATTAAATAAAATAAATAAATAAATAAATAAATAAAAAATGAAAGAAATTATTTCCTTTTTTTCTTCCAAACTCAGGATAATGTCTGAAGAGCATGGCTACCAAAGAAGTGGCAAAAAATGCAGAGAAAAATTCGAAAACCTTTACAAATACTACAAAAAGACAAAAGAAAGCAAAGCCGGCCGACAAGACGGTAAGCACTACAGATTTTTCCGGCAACTCGAAGCCCTTTACGGCGAAAACAACAACAACAACAACTCTTCAGCTTCAGTCTCGGAAGCCCATCATCATAATACTCATCAACCTTTTCACTACAATTTGCCGAACAAAGAACCCTACCCAAAATTCTCAGACAACACAAGCCTAAGCCTCTCCAACTACTCCGAACCCGACACGACATCGACCGACTACACGGACGAAAACGGGCCCAAGAATCCTAAATGGGCCGGTAAAACGGGCTGGAAGGCTAAAATCAAGGACTTCATAGACCTTCAAATGAAAGGTCTTATGGAAAAGCAAGAGTCTTGGATGGAGCAGATGATGATGACAATCGAGCGAAAGGAGCAAGAAAGGCTGGTGAGGGAAGAAGAGTGGCGTAAACAGGACGAGGCCCGAATAGAGAGGGAGCATCAGTTTTGGGCCGGTGAACGGGCCTGGATTGAGGCCCGTGATGCGGCGTTAATGGAGGCTTTGCAAAAGCTCACGGGGAAGGAGTTTATGGCAGCAGCAGAGAATGTGAGTTTAGGTGTGAGAGGGGAAATGTGGCCGGAAAACGGGTTTTGGGAAGAAATGGGTGGTGGGAATAATAATAATAGTTGTGTGGTGAAGAGTGGGAAAAGGAAGAAAGAGGAGTCGAAAAGTTACGATTTTTACGGTGGTGGTGAAGGGGTTTATAGTGAAAATGCTGATCATCAACAAGCGGTCGAGCCTGTTATGAGGCTGAACAACGATCAAAGCAATTCGTCCCCGAGTAATAATAATAATAATAATAATAATAATAATAATAATAATAATAATATGAGTGAGAGCTGTTTTAGGTACTCCATGGGAGATGGTTATGGAAGGATTATGGACTGAGAGTTGACTATGGTGGCTAGATTTACTTTTATGTGGTGAGTTAATTAAAAATGAGATGACTTGGGGTAGATTTTAGTTACCATATGGTGATTTTCTTGATGAGGGATGGTGGGAACTGATTGGTCACTGCTTTGTGGGTAGCTGAGCTGAGGTGAGGTATGTGAAGATGTGGTTTTTGTTTGTTCAACTCTCTTAACTCACTCTATCTGCAGTCAGTGTAATTTAGTTGTGTTTGTTCATTAATTCTTGTAGATTGCTTGGGGAAAAACTTGTATGCAAAAACTGATTATATTTAACATGTGTGTGTTGGGAGGGAGACAAGTTAAGAGGGTGATCGAAATGGACAGTTTATATTATATGGATAAAAATATGTATTTCTACTGTTATGTTTTTCTTTACTTTTTAGTGAAAGAATGCATATGTATATATGAAATTAGTGTGATAACCTAATGGATTGGCATGACAATGGTAATGAATTAGGGGAAATTTTGCAGTTTTGGTCCACTAACTTAGGGTGTTTTTCATTTTTGTTCAGTAATTTATTGGAGTTCAAAATTGGTCTAATAATTCATCAATTTTAGCCAATTTGATCCCCAAAAGCGGAATCCGACAGTTATTTAAATTTTAAGAGTTATTGGACCAAATTCGGACCTTAATAATTAAGTTACTGGACAAAAATAGAAAACACTATATGTTAGTGAACTGAAACTGCAATTTTCCTAAATAATTTGTGATGTCACGGCCGATGTTATCAAGAGCAAATTATGCTTTTTATCAGTATTTTTTTTTTATTCGTTTAGTTAGTCGTTGCTGTAGACATGGCAGGCCGAGGTGAATTTGAGAAGTGAGAAGACCAGGACATCCTAAGTATTTACTTTATATATTATATATAAATATATATAATATTTTGACACTTTGAAGGTAGATTTTGCCTATAGAAGCTAGCATGGAATCTAATCTATTGGTTTTGAAAGAAGATACTTATGATTAATTCTCACATCTTTTCTTTTTATTTTGAAGATTTTAATTGATTATACTGTTGTATGTACTTCGATTAAGGAGTTGATGGAGCATTTGCTTTCCAATTTTTTTTCCCGGTCTTTTATGTTCAAATTTAATGATGGTTGAATTTCTAGCTTGTTCCATTTATTCAAAAGTTTTATGTGAATATAGTGTTGTAACATGTCATAATTGTGAAAAAATTATTAATCCAACAGATTTGGATGGAAAGTAGAATGTGAACATGGAACGCTAGATTTGAATTCACAACAAAGTGGGTTGAGGATGTAATGCTTTCATCATTAGCTAGAAGCAAATTAAATATAAATAAAATTTCACAATAATGCGACCTCTTAACAGTGCAGTTAACTCAACATTTATTTTTGGTTGTTAGGAATGTTTAATAGTTGCTTCACCCATACTTTTTGTATATTTTCAAACTATAATATCATACTCTAAAAGATAATATAATAAATATGTATACTTTCAAACTATAGTATCATACTACAGAAAATAACATAAATATGTATACTTTCAAACTATAGTATCATACTATAGAAAATAACATAAACAAAAATATAACATTTTATAGCGTAATTATATAATTTCTTTGCTAAAAGAGTAAGAGGAATCTTTTGTAAAAAATTGGGGCATAAAATTATTTTTCAAGCTAAAAAAATGTCTAATAGTGTGTTGCATATGAAGAAAACTTTTTGGTATGTTATTTGACACCTAATTTATTTTTAGTCCTCCAAAATGTAGATTGTAGGGCTACATCTGGTAACTGTTACCAGAAATGCGGTAGGTATAACTCTTTTTATCCTTATTTGTCAACTGTAACCGGAATAATGACAATTGAACATTGGTTTTTTATTAGGCCTTTTCTTTAAAAATTAATTGCGATGGGATAAACTTATGTCCAATGAGAATGATGTAGAGTGTAGGATGAATGGGAAGAAAATTGAGATACTCTCTCAAGAATTGATAAAAAGTGAGATACTCTCTCAAGCAGATAAATTTTTCAATCGTCAATAACTAAAATCCCTAATCGTTTTCCACAGCATATAAACAAAAAGGAAAAATAAAGCTTCTTAATCTTGCCCCACAATTGCAAAATAATTATTATTCTATCCCAAAATACTAACTACCCCACAATGGTGTAGATTAGTATCTATTATTATTATTATTATTATTATTATTATTATTAGCATTATTACTTAATAGGTGTCTTAGAGAATAATGGACAAGTTAAGGTCTAAGGTTAGGAACCTTATATAAAGGACTCCCACTAGTTTATTTTACTTGGTTGATTATTGAATGAAAATAAGATTGTGAGGTTTATCGAGAGAGTATCTCGTTTTGTGTGTTTTACGAGAGAGTATCCCATTTATCTTTCTCACTCGTATGTTTCCCTATATGACAAAATTAGCAAAAATGTTGCATTTGATCTTTAAATTCACGAAAAATGCTACTAATTTCTATTACATCAATAGAATAGCGAAATTAACGACGACTAAAATACAAAATAACATTTTGGCAAGGAGATAATAAAAAGATGGTGATGCTTATAGAAAAATTCTAAATCCTATCACTACTTTTCACCCTCCACAAAAACTTTCATATTTCAATTCCAAATGTTGTGACCTAATTTTTCGTGTACACTATATCTTCTCTGGGGCGAACTAGCACTTAACTAAGTTGGTGGATTTGTTATATTTTTTTCAATAAAAATACACGTTTATGCTATAAAATATCATAATCTTATTTATGTGTTTTTAAAATGGCATTTCAATTTTGAAATATGCATATCTATTAAAAAAATAAGATAATAGCTTTTCTGATTCATGAAAATATACAACACAGCCATATAAATACCCTTCACATATTTGAAAGATTGCAGTAATTGTGTGAATGCAGTATTTGCAAATGTTTATATACGTAGTAGCTGGTAATACTTCACCAGGTTTTCAAATATGCAGCTGGTTTATAAAAAAAAATGTAATTGGTTAAGAAGTATTTATTTAATTTTTATTTAAGTTAATTGCTTAAATAATTAGAAACCTGCAGCTACTCGATCATCATCACATCATCATTGCTCTCTTATTTCATTTTATTTTTTGATAAAAGCTGCTAAAAGTGAAATATAATAATATATATATATACACAATATATATACTTGTTGTACACGCACATATATGTGTTTGTGTGTAGGATTGGGAAAGCTACAAATGGATGAGTTGATTGAAATGACACCACATATGGCATCGTTTGATATATAGTTTTAAAATCAGGAAAAAAAGAACAATATTTGATTTGATTTTGATTATTAATTCAACCTTTTTCACATCTCCTCCAAAATGGAACCGCACGTAGTATTATTGGCAAACACACATTATATATAACTACAAAATATAATATTTTCCAATCCATCCAAATCCAAACGGGGCCACATTTTCCTCCATTTAGAAACAGTAGCAAAATCCTTACATAAGTCCAAATTTTATACTAACAGATTGAGTGATGGCTAAATTAATTTTTGAGTGACATATATATATATATATATATATATATGCATTAAATAAAAGGAGTACGGAAGCTAAATAGACTACGCGAGAAAAGGATACAACTGTTAATTCCCACACGTAATTAATCTAATCCTATCCCCTTTGGGCAGAGGGTTCAGTGATATCAGCAGTACCAAACGAGGCAAAATAATTGCTTTACGTAATAAAACAATCAGTCATTTTTACGAATTACGAATGTCTTTTTTAGTGAATACATTTGAATTTGGGTGTCTCGAAAGGCAGACAATTTGGTAATAATTTAGCAGTCAACTGGAAACTGAGTTTCTAGGCTTTTTAAAGCTGCAGTGACTGAGCTTCAAAATTAATGTGTTTGGACCTCATGAACTGAATTTGCTTGCGTAATCAATTCGTATCTATTTATAATTTCTTTTTTATTTTATTATTTAGTAAAAGAAAAAATTGATTCTCGTGAGATTTGACTAGCTACTGACACAAGTGAGAAAATTGTCAGCCTTTTTAGAGAAGACACTCTTCTCGTAGCCTCAATTGGGAAGTCTCACATATTTCTTGCAATTGTGA